GGCTAAGAGCTCTTTAAGGAACTGGCAGCTCCTGGCACCATAAGACCATTCTAAACCTCCAGTGTGGAACAACCATCAAAGTCTCAGCATTTGAAGACCAAAGGTGAACTTGTAATCCTCATCATTTTATTCATTTATTTAAGCCAGTAGGTTTCCAGATGCTGTAACGATGTCTGAGAAATGAAAAATAAATAAGACAGGATCCTTTCCTTTGAGGATCTCATAGTTTAGTGGGATAAATAGTGAGTGGGATAAATTACATAAGCAGATAATTATAGTATGAAATACAATTTTATAACGATATGTATAAAATATTTTCTTAGGAAAATCCATGCACCAAAAGGACATATACCAAAAGTTGGTGGTTATCTCTATCAGATTTTTCCCCTTTTTGCTTATCTGTATTTTCATAATTTTCCTCTGATGTATATTTATTATCTTTGAAATAAGGAAAAAGAAGCATGTTCAAAAAGCAGCACAATGGGCTACATGCTACATCAGAAGTGTGCACAATATTCTAAGGAAGAAACTAACTTGTCTGGGGAACTCAAAGAAAACCTTGCAGCATGTATCTTTCCAGTCTTATATTCATATGTGTCTCTCACATGCCAACATGATGCAATGCATGGCCTTGTTTAGATCTTGGTCCAAGCAAACCAACTGTCAAAATACTTATAAGGCAAGTGGGGGAAGTTTGAATTCTGACTGGCTATTTGATGATACTAAGGCAGTATTATCATTATGATGTATGCTAAAGATATTACAGTAATGTTATGAAAAAAGAATCCTTATCTCTTAGGTAAACATACTGACATAATTATGGATGAAATGATATGAAGCCTGGGATTTTTACAGGTAAATAATCTATTGGGGGTGCAAAGTGTTTGGGAATATAAAATAAAAAGAGTAGTCATGAGTTAATGACCATTAAAGTTGGGTAATATTGTAGTGATCTGAAGGGGTACATGCACCCCAAAGTTTATAGCAGCAATGTTCACAATAGCCAAACTATGGAAAGAGCCAAGATGTCCATCAACAGATGAATGGATAAAGAAGATGTGGGGGGCGCCTGGGTGGCTCAGTAATTAAGTGTCTGCCTTCGGCTCAGGTCATAATCTCGGGGTCCTGGGATCGAGCCCCGCATCAGGCTTCCTGCTCCGTGGGAAGCCTGCTTCTCCCTCTCCCACTCTCCCTGCTTGTGTTCCCCCTCTCGCTGTGTCTCTCTCTGTCAAATAAATAAATAAAAATAAAAATCTTTAAAAAAAAAAAAGATGTGGTATATATATATATATATATATACAATGGAATATTATGCAGCCATCAAAAAACCCCCAAAATCTTGCCATTTGCAATGACGTGGATGGAACTAGAGGGTATCGTGCTAAACAAAATAAGTGAATCAGAGAAAGACAAGTATCATATGATCTCACTGATATGAGGAATTTGAGAAACAAGACAGAGGAGCATAGGGGAAAGGAGGAAAAAATGAAACAAGATGAAACCAGAGAGGGAGACAAACCATAAGAGACTCTTAATTTCAGGAAACAAACTGAGGGTTGCTGGAGTGACGGGGGGGGGGAAGGGATGGGGAGGCTGGGTGATGGACATCGGAGAGGGTATGTGCTATGGTGAGCACTGTGAATTGTGTAAGACTGATGAATCACAGACCTGTACCTCTGAAACAAATAATACATTATATGTTAAAAAAAAAAAAGAAGATAGTAGGAAGGGAAAAATGAAGGGGGTAGAATCGGAGGGGGAGACGAACCAGGAGAGACTATGGACTCTGAGAAACAAACTGAGGGTTTTAATGGGATAATAGCTAGATGGGTTAGCCCAGTGATGGGTATTAAGGAGGGCACGTATTGCATGCAGCACTGGGTGTTATACGTAAACTATGAATCATGGAACACTACATCAAAAACTAATGATGTGGGGCGCCTGGGTGGCTCAGCCGTTAAATGTCTGCCTTCGGCTCAGGTCATGATCCCAGGGTCCTGGGATCGAGCCCCACATCGGGCTCTCTGCTCGGCGGGAAGCCTGCCTCTCCCTCTCCCACTCCCCCTGCTTGTGTTCCCTCTCTCTCTGTGTCTCTCTCTGTCAAATAAATAAATAAAATCTTAAAAAAAAAAAACTAATGATGTAATGTATGGTGACTAACGTAACATAATAAAATAAAATGAATAAAGTTGGGTAATGAACACATGGGCGTTAATTTCAGTATCTTCTCTACTTTTGCGCTTGTTTGAAATTTCCTATCATAAAATATGCAGTAATTAATATAATGATTTTTCAATAATGAATAAAAACATCCTTTAAATATCTCTATCTTCAAGACTCAGCTCAAAAGACATCTTCTACACCAGTGAATGAGAGTGTGACAATCAATCCATGGGTGTGTTCACCTATACACAAGAAGCACTGACAAAATACCTGTACATTGTATGTTGTCTATTCTATGATCATCTGATCTGTGTCAATGACACTTGTAATCTCAACATGTATTTTTGACACTAGTCAATGTTTATAGTGTACATATACACAATAATCAAATATTTAATCTTTTTATTATTAAGAAAAAAGATATCTTCTCTTTGAAACCTTGCCTGATCACTCATTCCATTATTTGCACCCAACCTGAGCTCTGCACATAAAAGAGAAGACCCATAACATAACACACTTTTGTGTTTATTTGTTCACTTATATTTAAATGAGATCACTGTGTAGGACATGAAAACTACTCAGTAAATAGTTGTATTTATTGTTGTTATAATCACAGTCCTTTCTCTTTATTAGGCTATAAGACTAGCAGTGGCCATCTTATCTTTGTATACCCAGCAATTATCTCAATACCTGCTACATTTCAAGTGCTTGATAAACGTCTGCTAAATGAATAAATGAAACTTAGGATCACTCCATTCAGACCTACACTGTCCAGCAGAAACATCCTTAAGACTGAGGAATGTGAACTAATTCATGCCTTGCAGTTTACTCAGTGTTCCACAGCTCATTTGATCAGAAACATAACGTGTTCTTAGATTCGGTGTCCATTGAACATAGTCACTTGGAGTCCAAATGGCAGAGGAAGGTCAAACACCTTTTTAAAAAAATTTTTTGGCAAGCAATGCAATGTGCTCAGTAGCCATCCCTTACCTTCATTCTATCCTGAGCCTCTCTCAACTGCAAACATATATGGAGCAGAGAGGTGAGTCAGAAACAGGTAAAATAAAAGAATGAGGCTGAATGGGTGAAGGGGAATGGGAGGTACAGGCTTCTTGTTATGAAATGAGTAAGTCACTAGGATGAAAGGCACAGCATAGGGAATATAATCAATTGTATTGTGATAGTGTTATATGGTGACAAATGGTAACTACACTTGTGGTGGAATGGCATAATGTATAGAGTTGTCAAATTACTATGTTGTACACCTGAAACTAATGTTACATTGTGTGTCAACTGTATTTCAATAAAAAAATAGGGGAAAATGATTTTTAAAAATAGTGTGAGACAGAGGAATCAGGTAAGTGAGTATCAGTATTGGCAAATGGCTATTTCACATAATATTCGGTAATGTTTCTTAAGTGCTGAAAACATTTCATGACTTATTTTTGTAAGCTGTGTCAAATTATTCTTGGCATCAAAATGACTTGATCAAAATATGTACCATTTGATCCCCACAATAACATTATGAGGTAAACAGAGCCAGTCATCTCTGTTTTAAAGAAGAGGAACCTAAGGAAATTTACCTTTCACTCAGCTGGGATCTTAAATTGTGCCAATTTTTTAAATGCAGTATACTAGTATACTGGGATAATAATGCTATGTTATCACTGCCAAGAAACAACTATTTGTTTTGAAATAGCTGTTAGATTGAGAGTACTCTTCAGGTTCATAAGGGAAGTATTTGAGTGACTTCCAAACTCAAAAACCTTCAGAACAAGGGAGATTTGTTTGTTAGCTTGTTTGTTTGTTTGTTTTTAGGTATTTGAATGACTAACTTGCTCCTTGAAAAGCAAGGGAGCAGAAATCAAAGGCCTGATTGTGCTGAATCCTTCTATTTGGTCATTATTCAGATTGGTTCCCAGAATGCCACAGTCCAAAGGAAAGATTCCAAGCTCTGTTTAAAAATCAGAAACTAAAGAGCCTACTCAACATCCTGCTCACATTACTGGTGCTTGTATTCATCATTTAAAAGTCTTTTGATAACTCCTTTTATGCAGTAATGTTAGGCTTCGGGGAATATTCTCAGAACATAGGAAGCACCTCCTGACCTAGTTATGATGTAAATGCTTTTTGTGACTATCCCCTCTCTTCAAAGACCTCTGAACAGCCAGGCCCTTAGGCATAATTGAATCCCGGGGAAGAATTTTACCGGAACGCAGGTTTGTTTGTTTTGTGGTGCTGGTGGTGATGAAGAGGGAGCTTTCCCCTTAGTTGGGAAGGGGGAATTTTACAATGAAACTGGCCCTTGATGCTTACTTACCCCAGACTGATGAGGACATCCATGCTTGGGGGAACAGGTAATAATTTTTTTAGTTCTGCTTCAGTATCTAGGAGAGTGAGAATGTGTAGTAGCAATCTACTTGAAAGAACGTTCCTTGAATTTCCCAATTCAAAAGACTGCATAGAGCTAAGACAGAAATAAGAGCACTGAGCGACGAGGGACGTTTTATATGTCAACCCAAATCACAAAGGCAGGACTTTTCTAAGGATGTAAGAATTATATCTACCTTTTGGGTACAGGGGGTGGAGTGGAAAGAAGGGATTCTGGAGCAGATATCCCAGAACTATCCCAAAACAGAAACCTTCACACAAGGTTATCTAGCTCTCCTTAACAGGTGCAAGGGCAGGGAAGGCATTTGGTCCTTGAGGTAACGTTTGGTTGGGAAGTTACGACAATGACGTCCACGTTTATAGCAATCCAGGTGACCCTGAGCGGAGGAGCACCCGTAGGACTGCGGCACAGAAAATATGCTAGCCTGCCAGTCGCCCCTCCCCCCTTGCATTCTCGGGGGATTGGAGTAGCATTGGAGTCGCTGACGCCATCCCTTCCCGCCTCTGGCTCTCAGGGAGCATGCGCTTCCTTCCTCACTTCCTCTCAAGGAGGGAGAGAGAGTAAGGCTACGCCCTAGCCGACCCGAGGCCGGCTTCGCGTCACAGGAACTTCAGCACCCACGGGGCGGACAGCGCTCTCCTCCACCTGAAGACCTGACTTCCGAGCGCCCGGAGCCTTTCTAATCCCTTTACTGGGTAGCCGCTCGGAGCTCCACCGGCCGCTGGATCCCTGCCACTCTCCCTCCCCTCACCCGCCCTCCTAGCTCTTCCTGTTTTTACTCCTCCTTTTCATTCATAACAAAAGCCACAGCTTTGGGAGCCCGGCGCCGGGCTGTTTCTGAAGCCGAGCGTGGAAGAATGGGGTTCCTTTGGACCGGCACTTGGATTCTGGTGTTGGTGCTCCAAAGCAGCCCAATTCAAGCTTTCCCCAAGCCGGGAGGCAGTCAAGGTACGTGGGCACTTTTCTTCCCACCTCCCTTTTATTTCGCCACGAAGAGGTAAAGCTTGGCAGAATCCCGTGAACTGTAAATCACCTTGCCTCTTTTCTGATCAGGTCGTATCCGTGCTTATTGACAGAGAAATCAGTTCGAATTTAGAGACAGGAAGACAGATTTTCCCCCCACACTTTTTGAATGATAGAGCAATAACATGCGTTGTTTTGAAATATCTTATTTTGAAACTGGCGAGGGGGGTGGTTTTCCGCCTTAAAAAGTGGCATTTTTTTTCTAGTTGTCTTACAACCATTCTCAGATATTGTATTCTTAATATGTGCAGCAGATGATAAAAGAGCTTTTAATGTGCCAGTAATGCTAATCCAAATTATGCTCTATCTAGCTGGAAACAGCTGGTAAGAGAAGTGTTAGAACTAAATGTTAGATTTCTGGGCAGAAAAATAAAAGTGTGATTCTATTAACTCAGGAAGTACACCAGGATAATAAGCAAAGAGACGTTGATAATCATTGTTATTGTATAATCTTGATTATCTTTGTTAATACATATTTTTGATTCACAGACACCCAAAAAAAATTTCTCCTAATATTTGTTTTTCTTTTTTGGAGATTTTATGTAGTAAGAGACATATTGTGTCTTTCCACTGCATAATTAAATTTATATTTGTGTTTGGTTATTCTAGACAAACCCCTACATAATAGAGAATTAAGTGCAGAAAGACCTTTGAATGAACAGGTAGGTGAAAAGTAAAATTATAAATGCTATTTCATTTTACTTTAGTTATTATATTTAATGTAATTATGCTGTGACATTTTAGCATTTTGAATTCACAAACTTCAGGAGTTTAATAATAAATTTACAGAAATTAGGATGGAAAATATAGTTTGGGAAATTGTATGTCTTAACAGTTATATACATAGAATTCTGTATAATACACAGAAATGACCATATAATAGCCCAGTAAGCCCAACATCACATCCACTCTATTTTAAGACTGCTTAATTTATCAGATTTATCTTTCACCAATATTACAGGAGAAGGGAATTAATATTTGTAGACTATCTGCCCTTTATTTTATCTCATTTAATCTTTATGGCAATGCCTTGAAATAGAAATTATTATCTACATTTTACAAATAAGAAAACTAAATCCCACAGAGATTAAATCATTTAGCTGTCATATTTGGTAAGTGGTGGAACAATGATTTAAAACCAGGTCTATCTCCGATTTACTTCCCAGATTGCTGAAGCAGAAGCAGACAAGATTAAAAAAACATACCCTCCAGGTAAAAAGAAATTATGTTGATATAATTTTTTTAAAAAAGGTTATGAAAATCTTAACTAAAATAGATGTGTTGGGCTTGGGGGCTTTTCTTCCAGGAAACAAACCAGGTGAAAGCAATTATTCCTTTGTTGATAACTTGAACCTGCTAAAGGCAATAACAGAAAAGGAAAAAATTGAGAAAGAAAGACAATCCATTAGAAGCTCCCCACATGATAATAAATTGAATGTGGAAGATGTTGATTCAACCAAGAATCGAAGACTGATTGATGATTATGATTCTACTAAGAGTGGACTGAATCATAAATTTCAAGGTAAATGAGGAAAAAGAACTTTTGCTTCCTATTTTCTCTAACTTGGAGTCTTCCCATTGTGGATTAAGAGAAAGTCCTATGTTTTAAAAATAGCCTTTGTATATTCTTAGTCCTTTATTAGTCAGGACCAAAATTAAGACAAAGCCCAAATATTTCTGTGAGGGCTCAGCTTCACAGAAGCCCAGATTTTATTTTCTCATTTTAAGGTTCCTTTACTGATGCTTTGAAAACAATTTAAATCTGCTATCTATATTTTATGTGATTGAATTCATTTTAACATTCCAATTTTTTTAACTATTAGTACAAAGAAACTATCATAATTCTCAAGTAATTAAATCAATAAAATACTCCTCACAAAAGCTGAAATATCCATTACTTTCTTTTCAGTATTCATTTCCTCGTCATATCCGTCTCCGTGGGTCATTCTAACCTTTCCATGACTCTTAATTACCATCTATAGCCTGATGTCTTGTAACACTAGCCCACACTTCTCCTTCTCTGAAATATATATATATTACCTGTATATAAAATAGTTTTTTTCTCTATCCTCGATCACCACCATCCTTGTCCAAACTCTAATCATGTCTCACTTGAACTACAGCAAGATCTCCTAATGAATCTTCCAGCACCCACTCTGCCCTTTTCCAACTCAGAGCAGCCAGAATGATCTTTTCATACACAAGTATGAACTTGTCACTCTTGCATAAAACCCATTAGTAGATTCTTATTTCTCTCAGGATAAAAACCCAAATCTTTAATGTGGCTTCCATAGTCCTGGAAGGACAGATTCCTTTGTTCATCCAGCACACATGATCTGATAGAAACCTGTTCCTTTCATTCATGACACTTAATGTAATTTGTAATTTTACATTCCTAAGTGTGACTACTTATGATTTATGTCTTTCTCCTTAACTAACCTGAAAACTTCACTAGAACAGAAACAGTGTACACCCAGTGTCTGAATGCTTATGAATTCACTGCATGAGTAGATGGATAAAGGAATGAATGAGCAAATAAAATAATACACCAGGGAATAAATGAACTATTGTATATGAGCATTGAGGAGAGTGTGTTTTCTGTGCTGAGAACCACTGCTTAAGAGTGACTACAAATTTTCTTTAATTTGCTTATTCTGCTCCATGGCCACAAGAGAATTAGGCTGGTCATCTCTGCCAGAAAACAACTACCGTTATGACTTTCATTGGATATCACAGCCTGAGGAAAATTAAGAAGTGTGTTGTATATGAATGGGGTAGGAGAGATGGTTTATATTTTGAAACATTTCATATTGTATACTACTCATAGAAATGTGTTTCTCTTGAATTCTACTTTTTAACCTAAAATATTTGGACTAGAAATAGATAGGCACTGGGGGGCGCCTGGGTGGCTCAGATGGTTAAGCGTCTGCCTTGGGCTCAGGTCATGATCCCAGGGTCCTGGGATCGAGTACCACATCGGGCTCCCTGCTCCTTGGGAGCCTGCTTCTCCCTCTGCTTTTCTCTCTCTCTCCCTCTGTCTCTCATGAATAAATAGATAAAATCTTTAAAAAAAATAGAAATAGATAGGCACTGGGTATAGGGGCATACAAAACAATTTCAACTACTTTGACTGAACCGACCATTTGATTTAATAAAATTTTAAAAAATAGTCTAATGTTTGTTTGGTTACATTTTTTTTTTTTTTTTTGGTCAAACTGGTTGTATGTACAGGTAGAGGCATAGATCTGTTTGTGACCTGACCACTAACCTGAGTAACTTTTTAAATGGTTCAATGTTTTATTACGATCCCAAATGGGTTCAGAACTATCAAGTCCTAGCCCTGATGGCTCTAGGCTTACCCTAGGAGTCATTTCAAGTCCACTTGAGACTACAGAGAAGACTTTTGGAGAGAATGGTCTATGAGTGAATTACTGGTCTCCTCTCATACCTTGGAAATCCTGGAACCAGGTGGGTTTGGGACCACCAAGTTAACTGGAACTTCAGAGGCAGGCTGACTTACATCCTAGAAGGGAGAGTGAGGGAGCAAAACTTCTGCAGGGTACTTTTACACATTTAGGAAACCTCCAGATGGTCTTGTAGGGCCCATCAGGTCTCCTTTCCTGTGTTTTCTACAGTATATGTGATTCAGGATTTTTCCAAGTGTCTTTTATGAAGTAGTGCTTTGGGGCTCCTGTGTGCATTCACCAAACAAATATTCATTGAACAATTACTATGTTTCAGACTATGAACTAGACAATAAGCTCTGTGTAGTTAGGGATCACACCTAAACTATTTATCAGTTTCCTGTTCTGGCCCATATTAAGACTTCAATAAAAAATGTTTTGGACAAATGAATGTCAGGTGCCATAAATAGATGCCAAGGACTTAAAAAATAACTGGGAAGATTGTGACTTGGAAGATGGTCCTTTTACATCCACTTACAATGTTGTAGTTGCTTTAAAAAAGTTATGGATATTGAACTCATGTTTGGTTTCCCTCTGAGGGTATATATAGGAGGGTAAAATATGCTTTCGTGAGCAATACAGAAGTCACTGAGTAATTCTGTCCATTTTAGAGAAGCCAGGGAAAATCAGTGGAAGGTAAAGAGCAATGCCCAAGTGGTCAACTATTAACCCCATCTAGCAAAGTTCTGCTAGGGGAGGCCTGAACTCCTGGCTCAAGAGAATACAGCAGTGCAGCAGAACAAAAAGGCTGTTTCTTCCAAGTGTTGCTTATGTTCTCCCTGTTATGAAGTAAATGAACTGAAAAACAGTCATCTCAGTTATTTTCCAGCACTAGCAGGCAACCAGCCCTCTTCCTTTTCTTCAGATCCTGAGGGATTAAGTGGGAAGGGAAATAAATTTTTCCACCTCTGCATAGACCTTAGGTAGTTTCTGCTCCACATATCCCCGAGAGTCTGTCTTGCAACCCACAAATGAAGACTCAGACCTAAATAACAGTTGAGTCTCTGCTCCTGAAAAAAATGGATGAAGAATCCAATTTTCAGTCAGTCAGGAGGAGAACTGGTTTTATGGGGTTTTTTTCCCTTAGGGTGTTTTCTGTTTATTAGTCACTCTGATACACAGGGCTCAAAGGGCTCATAGCTAATGGATTGGTCGACAGCTCAGCAATAATATATTATCAGGAAGCTTCTAGTCCTCCATGTATAATCACCCTATTCAGGTTCCTAAGCTTCTTTTCAAACAACAAGAAAATGTTCTGCCTAAGGCAGCATGTATCTTCAGTTGTATAGATTCTGGAAGAAAGGTTTGAGAGAAATTTCTTGTGTGAATTCTCAAAGTCATGGAAGAAAAGGACAGAATAAAGATAGAAATACAAGGCTCTTCTTTCTTTGAGTAAATATGATCGGAATTATTTAGGCAGAATTTGACCAGAGATTCAATTTCCATTTTCTCTAGAAGATAACCACAGTTGGTACAAATCCACTATATATAATAATTTTTTAGTTTTCATATAATACTGCACATTATCTTTCATATAGTAATTTGCAACTTAAAAGATGCATTTACATCTTATTCCATCTGAGCTTCATAATAATCCCACGAAACAGATAATCCTATTATCTCCCTTTACAGTGGTCTAAGGATTTAGAGATAACAAGAGGCAACATGGGCTAAAATTCTGATCTTTCCAATCTGCCTTGTAAATTTGCACATATTAATATATTGCTTGATGTGGTGTAGGTTAGAAAAGACCAGCTGATTCCTGAGAGTTGTCTTGGACATGGTGCAATGCTTCTTTGTCACCAACCCTCCTGGGCCTTTCCTTCCCGATGGGCTCTTGCTTTACTCTAAAATAGTGCTGTCAAATGTATTCCCAGGAAAGCCAAGGATACATATTTGCAAGCATCTCTGCAGAGATTTACATAGATTTACATATTGCTTTGTAAAAATCTGTTGTCTCGTTTTAAAAAGTTTAAATTTCAGACACATAAAATAAGTTCCCTATTCTCTAGAGAAAGGGGCTTATCTTATTAAGCTGTCTTCCGTAAAGGAGTTTTGACACACGTTCAGTTAGAAGTAAATATTTATTCCAGATAAATCATAAAATCTTCAGTACACCCTCTCTGATTCTGGGTGTAAGGCAGGTTCCCCACTCTCAGCCCAGGAATTTGCCAGCAGAAGAAATACACGTGCAGATATTATGAGTCTACTCCTTGTATGGAAATGGAATATCAAATTATGTTTTGGACAATATGGCATATTACATAAATATGGCCCACTGTTGAATTTTAAAATACAACCTTGTTTGTATTATTAGTGAGAATAAAAAATGGAAAGGACTTTTGTGTTGTCTTCAGATCTTCCTTTCTCTTACAATCACATAAGAAGCTTTCAGAATATCCATTACCATCTTAGCATCTCACCTTTAAAGTAAAATTTTATTTCAAACCAAGGGCTTATGTGGACCAAGCAACACCATAAATGTATTCCAAACATATCTGAGTGTACAAGAGCAAGGTACATATTATAAATATAATATGACCCATGAAATAGGCCTCTGATAACTATGATGTGGAACTATGATTACTCTGTCTAGATGATCCAGATGGCCTTCATCAACTAGATGGAACTCCTTTAACTGCTGAAGACATCGTCCAAAAGATTGCTACCAGGATTTATGAGGAAAATGACAGAGGAGTATTTGATAAGATTGTTTCTAAACTGCTGAATCTTGGCCTTGTAAGTCCTGCATAAGAATAAACCCATTTCTTAGTACAGTTTGGAATTTACTAAGAATCCAAGTCACGTGATCCAGTTGTAGCCAAATGTTTATAATACCTCTACTTTATATTAGGCACTGTAGGTTTTGAGGACAAATAAGACAACATTCTTCTAGGAACTTATAGTCTACCAAAGGAACTACACAAATACACACATGCCCACAATGCAAAGCTGCATCAGAACCGTAAAAGCAGTTCAGCATGCCAGAGGATGAGTTATGTACAGTTTGGCAATAAGGAAGAGCTTCAGAGAAGGAGGTGTTTGAAGTCAGCTTAAAAGGATGGCTAGGATTTAATGAGCAGCAGTAAAAATACGTGCGTTGTGAGAAGAGAATAACAGGAGCAAAAACATACAACATTTGGGAAACTAAGCGATTTAATTGGATCATCCCTCAGCCTGGCTCCCAGCCCTTGTACAGCCCTGTCAGGCTTTAGTAGGGAGCTAACTTTGCCTGTTTCAGAGGTTTCCTGGCCATGACCTGTAGTGGAGGCTTGAGAAATAACCCTTTAGGGGCACCTGGGTGACTCGGTTGAGTGCCTGCCTTGGGCTCAGGTCATGATCCCAGTGTCCCAGGATCGAGCCTCACGTCAGGTTCCCGGATTGGCAGGGAGCCTGCTTCTCCCTCTCGCCACTGCTCGTGCTCTTTCTCTCTCTTTCTCTCTCTCAAATAAATAAATAAAATCTTTAAAAAAAGAGAGAGAAATAACCCTCAAGATATTTCTCAAAATAAGTGTTCCATGGATTCCAAAAGACAGGCCTGATTACCTGTACAGCCCAAAGGTACTTTTTCCCAGGAATTCTGGGGCAGACACTAGAATGGCCAGCAACTAATAGAGGCATAAAAAAGGGTTATCTAGAAAGAGGGACCAAAAGATTCTCTCATCTTCTTAAAAATGTATTCAACTACAGAGTTTAGTCTAAATTTTTTAATCACAAGTATGAGAATACCAGTTATGTATGTTTTCACTCCTTATAACAGATCACAGAAAGCCAGGCGCACACACTAGAAGATGAAGTAGCAGAAGTTTTACAAAAATTGATCTCAAAGGAAGCCAACACTTATGAGGAGGAACCCAATAAACCGACAAGCGTGACTGAGAGTCAGGCTGGAAAAATACCAGAGAAAGTGGTATGTATGTGAGAATTCATATGCATGTTATGGGCGTGTGTATATGCATGTGCATGGATATGTGTCTGTGTCTACTTGTATTTGTATATAATTAATGCAATCTGTATATAATTAATATCTTACTTGGTGCCAAAGAAGATTTGGAGTATGTGACACGTTTAACCCACTTAAAATATATCCTCACAAAATACCAGTAAGTTAAAAGTTATAAGCCAACTCTATGTTGAAAATGAAGATACAGGTTATATTATATTACACAGTAAAGGTTACATCTTAAACTTCACAGTAAATTAACCCATAATGTTAGGTGGAAATGTTATAACCATTCCACATACAACTGCTTGTATAATGTCAGTGGACTGGAACCAAATATTCCACAGCTCTTTCAGTATACAACTTCTGTTCACAGAAAGTCATCATCTGCCTCCAGAACCCAAAAAAAGAAACTCGGGTTTGTTTGATCCTCTGCCACACCAGCCTGTGTTCCCCAGAGCTCGTCACCTGATACTGCCTCTCTGTTATATCCTGAGCTCTTCCACCTGCTCTTTCCTCTTCTCATTGGTTCAGAGGCCTGGAACCATCCTTTGCTAGTCATTCATCCGTCTTTCCCCTTCCTGGACTCTGTGCCTCTTCATCTTTTCTTTGGCATTCATTCGCCAAGCTACTAAAATCTTTCTCCCCTCTGAATTCCCTGTAAAACTCTAGATGGAGCTGACCACAGAGGGATATAAGAAAATATCAGTCTCTCCACCTCTCCTGTTTTCTCCACCAGAGCATCCAGACCCCATGGCTCCTCACCCCTCCAACATTGTATCCCAAATACAAGGAAAAAGAGTGTATCAGCCTATTGTTCTGTTTTAGAAGAGGCTAGAAAACAGAAACTGGGACTGGATTTTTCTTTTCCAAGATAGCATAACAGCTCCCCTTTGGTCTCCCTATTTCCCACCTCCACCAGTTTTCATTTTTTTAAACAGATTTTAAAGATCCACCCAAAACATTCTTGATTTATCAAAGAACTCATGACATTCACTCAAGCTAACCATCTGAACTGAAAGTGACATAGCTACTGTATTTTCCTGATTTTTCACTCCCATTTTGTACTCCTTATTCACCCATCTCGAAAACATCCATATGCTTGACCTGTTCACTCATGTCATCTAAATGCATTAACGCAAACGAAATGTTCATTCAGTACATATTTATTGAGGTGCCAATTGTGAACCAAGCACTGGGGATGTAATGCTCATCTAAAAAGATAGAATCCCTGCTCTCATGAAGATCTAATGGAAGAAGTAGATGGTTTTCAAATAGTCACCTATTTTAACTACAACTGCCTTAAGTGCTCTGAGGAAAGAAACATGGTTCTATGAGACCCTGTTAAAAAGGAACCTGCTCTGGACTTAGGCCCAGGGAAGGCATCCCTGAGGAAGTGATTTGAGCCAAAACTGAAGGCTGAATAGGAGTTAACTTGTGAATATGAGAGGCAGTATGTAGAGAAGAATGTGTGGAGTATCCAGGTAGCTCCAACAAGGGCAGGGTGGCTGGCTCACAGAGAGAGAAATGAGAGATGAGCCTGAGGATGTGGACCCAGGGCAGACCAGGCAAGGCCTTAGGTTCTGATCTTTATTGTAGGACCAATGGGAAAACACTGGACGATTTTAAGCAAAGGTGTTACATGATATTTTTAAAAAGACAACTCTGGCTACAACACGGAAAATGCAGTGTTGGGAATAGATTAGAAGTAGTTGATGTACCAGTTAGAAGGTTAGAGATGAAAGTATCTGGACTAGAGCCAGGTAATGGAGAAAGAGAGAAATGTACAAATTTGGGACAGATTTTGAAAGTAGGGCCAACAAGGCTACTGATGAAGGAAATGAAGAGGAAGAGACAAGAAAGGCTCTTAAATTTCTGTCTAGTCCACTGAATGGACAATGGATCCATCCATCCATAACTAAGATGCAGAACACTAGAAATGGATCAGGTCTGGGAGAAAGAGTCCTGTGTACTTTTCCAGATAGTCCTTAAAATTTCACTGAGAAGTCCCCAAGGTGTGACTGTTCTGCTAGTGTTAGATATTCTGACAGGCTTTCCTATATCCTGTTGTCAATTTTATGACTTCAAAGCTCCCCTACTTGGTGAAAGACATTTCTATGAGGAGACACTCATGAGAACTGACAGAGGGAAACTTGGCCAAGGAGGAACCTAGAAATTCCCTGTCTATTCTCCAGGAACAAGAGCCAGGGTCCTCAGGTGAAGCATATGTCTCTTAGCCCCAATGACCCTTCCATGTGGCTACATGCCCACATGCCTGGAAAAGGGTTTGATCCTGCAGGAGCTTGCAAAGGAGGAGGTATTCTTGCACTTCACATTCAAGGGCACCACAGAGGAAAGAATCAAGCTGGAGCATAATTAGTTCTATCAAACTGTTAATTTTTTATTGATTTTTTTCTCCCAATGGAGACTCCAATGGCAGCAATTCAAGATGGTTTTACTAATGGACAAAATGATGAAACAGTATCTAATACCTTAACCTTGACAAATGGCTTGGAAAGGAGAACTAAAATCTACAATGAAGACAACTTTGAGGAACTCCAATATTTCCCAAACTTCTACGCACTACTGAAAAGTATTGATTCAGGTAAACACTGTTTTCTGACCATGTGGAATAGAAACAGTAATTCCAGGAAATATATGGGTGGAGTTTTTCTTCCTGTTTTCAGTTTCTAAATGCAGTCTTCAATGACATATATTGTGGCCTCGGGGAAAAGAGTTCACGTCAATTTTTTCAAAAGAATACTAGTCATGAAAATATTTAGGAAAGGATAGTCAGGAAAGGTGGAGCTTCTGGATAATTTAATCTTCTTGTTAACAGAGCGTTCATTTATTTGTTCAACAAACAGTTACTGGACATGTGTGGTGTTTGGGACATTGAGGTGAGCCCTGTGCAGATGAAGAGAGAAATCAGTGTCCCTGTCTGACTTGCTCAGCCTCAAATCTTATTGCAAATCCTTTTTTTTTTTAAAGGCTGTATTCATTTTCCTCTCATAGTAGGAACAATGTGTATAACATAACTTATCCTTTTAAAAATAATTCAGGTTTTTGCTTTTTAGACATTTTCAGCTTCGGTCTTGAAATGAGTTCAAATGAACTAAACACTGGACCACAGCAGGTCAGGAGCCCAAAACACCCTTGGAAAATTATTTGTTTTTTTAAAAACAAAGTCCTTGATGTGCCTTTTCTCTTACATGTACACCAAAATAGGTTAGCTGAAGATTTCAATTCATGTTTAGTTTTGATTAATCTTCAAGGAAGATTATAATGGGCAAATTTTCTTTTGTTGTTATTGTCCAGACAGATGCTCTGCACTGCTTTATGGCTTTTCCTCTCCCTGTTCAAAGATTCAGCCCTGGATTGAACATTTGTAATAAATATTTCCCCAAGAAGTGACCTCAGAGTGAGCTTTCATTTCTAGGGAACATCCATTGTCCTTCAATTCCAGACATTGGCCAGATGGCACCAGCCCCTCTGCTGGTGTCTGCAGGGCTGGTACGTCTTGAGGGTCCATTCTCAGCCATCTTGCCCCATTGAATGGCAAATGCCCAGCTCAGAAACTTTGTCATCTTGGTGAGTCACTTCTTGTCAGGGAAGAACATCAGCAGGACACCAAATACCTACACAGATGTGACCTTGAACAAATAATGTGATGGCTGAAGTTATTTACAGGCACTTTTCCAGGATCTCATCCCCATTTCCTCTCTCATCTTTCTTCTCTCCCAACTTTGGGACTTTCATGATATTTGAAAGATTCCACTGTATGGAATGTTTTTTATTTTATTTGTTTTTATCTTTCAGTTTCCTTGACCCTATTCTTAATTTCCTTTATTTTTATAGAATTTTAATTTAAATCCTTACACTAAGGTCTTTGACAATACCCATCTTTCTCACCCAAGGTCTGAACCAACTGAGAAATAATAAAACGGGTGGAAAACCAAAATATTTCTGATACTGATAAAGACTGGGTTGTAAGGGTTGTAGAACGCAGCTTGGTGTGAGATCCAACACTGGGCTTGCTCACTCCCTGTCCTCAGTCTAGTTCTTGGAACAGCCAAAACCAAGGACCATTGGATTCTACAGAGCTGGCGCTTGTCTCAGGTCCCTGCCTTCCACTGTTCCAGGGGAGCAAAAAGAAGAAAGAGTCCAAATCCCTCTCAGTTAAGAAATGAAGACTAATGGCCATTGCCTACCAACCTCATCTGTAGGAAGGATGCAACTGGGGATGGGGGGAGGCTAGGAGTATTTAGAAGAAATCCTTAATGGTAGCTAAAAAGCTAAAAGAATAGGGAAAATGGGCTCTCCTCTAGCACCTTTCTTCAAAAATGGAAATAGATTTTTTTAAATTTTAGAATAGATATATATACTGATGTCTATAGAATCATTAGCCATCCTCTTCCATCAAGATGCAGAAGAATATGCCAATTATGAAGAGTTCCCAAGAAACTTTTTTTTTTTAAGATTTTATTTATTTATTTGACAGAGAGATAGAGAGCACAAGTAGGCAGAGCGGCAGGCAGAGGGAGAGGGAGAAGCAGGCTCCCCGCTGAGCAGGGAGCCCGATGTGGGGCTCAATCCCAGGACCCTGGGATCATGACCTGAGCCGAAGGCAGACGTGTAACGACTGAGCCACCCAGGTGGCCCGCAAGAAACTTTTAATAGTGGTTACCTATACGGAGTAGGAGTTGGGGGTAGGAGAAAAATGTTATTTTCACTATTATTTACTTCTGCACTGTTGGAATATTTTTACTATGTGCATATATTCTTTCAAATAAAAAAAGTTTAGAAAGCAATATATACTACTATTAAAAATCAACCTTATGTTATAAAAAATAAAGATACATGTGTGTTTTTATTTTCAAATATTAAGTTTGATTAGTGAAAACAGGTCATTCTTGCCCTCAAAAACATACAGCTTGAGTAAAGAAAAATTGTTGGGTCACAAATCTTCTAACTTTCTTTTTGAGTTCGTATTACCTCAGGTTGCAAACTGTCTCTTTATCATCTACTCTATTAATAAAATATTTTAGATTAAATCTTTTTGGAGAAGTTATAATTGATTGCCCATTTCTGGAAAAGTTCAGTATACCTGTACATTATCCTGTATTCTGAATCAAGTCTTAGGCTTTCTGTAAATTAAATATATGTGGTTTCAGCTATAAATGTAGGGAGAAATATTTCAATAAGATGCCTACTTCATAAACTGACACTGAAAGAGGAAGTTACACTCCACTAGTTTTTTTAAAAAAATTATTTTGTCCTTTTGTATAGAAAAAGAGGCAAAAGAGAAAGAAACACTGATTACTATCATGAAAACGTTGATTGACTTTGTGAAGATGATGGTAAAGTATGGCACAATATCTCCAGAAGAAGGCGTTTCCTACCTTGGTGAGAGTCCTATCTGTTTTGTTTTTACTGTAATAGTTTTCATTGTCCAAAGTGAATAAGGGATTTGGCAATAATTATCTCACAAATTTGATCATTTATGCCAAAATAGCCTGAAGCATCTGAGTAACTGGAATTGACCAGCTTGATAATGCATATAAATAAAATTAACCAGAAGTTTTCAACTCTTTATAGATACAGCTTGAGTACAAACATTTCATTATTACATTTTGTCTTATTAACATTTTCTAAATATCTCCATGGAGACGATTTTATTAAAATTTGACCCCCCCCCCTTTTTTTTTCCAATTGTGTTTGGGTGGTCAGGACTAAAAGAGTTGATTTTAACCAGTGAGGTCTGTGTGTGGTGGGAAGGAGAGAGCTCTGGACTGAGCAGCAGAAAGTGATACCCCCTGATCCAGGTCGGCCACAGACAACTCCGTCCCATGGGGGAAGGCACTCACCTTGCTTGGCCTTAATCTCGGCATCTCTAAAATAAAGGACTTTGTGATCAATGGTGGGGCTGGCAAACTACTGCCCATGGACCAAATCTGGCCCATTGCCTACTTTTGTATAGCACATAAGCTAAGAATTGCTTTTACATTTTTAAATGGTTGAAAGAAATCAAAAGGAGAATCGTATTTTGTGACAGAAGAAAAGTATGTAAAATTCACATGGCAGTGTCCATACATGAAGTCTTATTGGCACAGCCGCACCCATTTCCTTCCTGCTGTCTGTGGCTGATTTTATGCTACATTGGCAGAGTTGAGTAGTTGCAACACAGACCACAGATGGTCCACAAAGTATTTACTATCTGGCCCTTTACTGAAAAAGTTCGCAGACCTTTGACTCCTTGAACTTTGTAGATAAGCTTGAACATTCTTTCTGCATGCAGGTTGTTTAAAAAAGAAAAAAAACAGCCTTTGGTTTTTCTGCTTGGTTTAGTTAATCAACAAATACCATTTATCCCTGATGTCCTTTGAGCAAGATGACCTCATGGCCCCTTACTCTGATCTCTAACAGAGAAGGAAGAATTAGAAGAGAAAATCTCATAGCATAGAATAATCCAGAATTACTCTCTATGAATTCCATTTTTTTTCCACATGAAAATAATTTTACTGTTTTTTTTCTGATTACAAAAGAGCATATGTATTTTAAAAAATCAGTCAGTGCAAAATGATGTTAAAAAAGAAGTAAAAAGGGATGCCTGGGTGGCTCAGTTGGCTAAGCGTCTGCCCTTCGGCTCAGGTCATGATCCCCAGGTCCTGGGATCGAGCGCCACATTGGGCTCCCAGCTCAGCGGGGAGCCTGCTTCTCCCTCTGCCTACTGCTCTACCTGCTTGTGCTCTCTCTCTCTGTCAAATAAATGAATAAAATCTTAAAAAAAAAGAAAAAGAAGAATAAAAAATCACTCATAATACTGGCACCCAGGTGATATTCTGGTTTATATCCTTCCAGATGTTTGTGGATATATATATACATATATATATATATATGTGTATATATACACACACACACACACACACACATATATACCTTGGTTGTTTCTTTGTTTTACCTTGTTTAACAAAAAATGGGCTCACATTATACATAATGCTTTGTGGCCTACTTTACTCAACAGTAGATCAAAGGCATTGTTTCAGATCAATCACTGTTTCATACCAATACCCTGTGACTCAAAAGTCCACACTTAAGTCATTTATCCAATGGAATTAGATTAGAAATGCCACAAGGTGCAAGGTACAAGGTAGGTATTTCCATGACTGTTCATAGCTGTGCTATCCAGTATAGTAGTGGAAAGGGAATTCATTGCTTCATGTAACTGAGGAGTCCAGGAGCAGGGGTAGTCTGATGTTGGTTAGGTTTGTCAAGTCCATCAATAGTCCCAGCACTGACTTTCCATGTGTTGATTCATTCCAGATAAGCTGCTCCATTATGGGAAAAAGATGGCTGGCAATCTCCATCCTCACATTACAGCAATCCTAGCAGGAAAAGATCCTCTTTCCCCAGTGGCCCTAGCATTGAATCTCATGGTCCTGGCTTGCATCACAGGCTCCTCTTTGAACCAATCACTCAGCTCAGGGCGATGGAGACCCTGAGGAGCCACGCCAGGATTATTAGGCCCCGCCTGAGCCAAATGTGCTGAGAATGGGAATGGTCTGGGTTTTCTAAAGGAAAATCAAGGTGTAGTTACCAGAAAGTGTTGAGGAAGCCGAAACCACAGGTGTCCATTAAAGGCTTCAACCCCAGACATGTTCTAGCAGTGGCCCCAGAGATGTGGAAGAGACTTCTGTAATTAACTGAGTAGGAGGCTGAGTTAAGGATCCCAAATAGTGTGGAATAGTAGATTCCTAGAAATAAGATCCATGTCAAAGCAACTTAATCACAGTGTTAATATTGTGGAATTGCTTTGTGATATTTCTGTTGAGGTTTAAACAGTTTTAGTAGAAGTTTGATATCATCTTTTAAGAAATAAAATTATATTTCATATTTCTTCCCCTCCTCCCTCCAGAAAACTTGGATGAAACTATTGCTCTTCAGACCAAGAACAAGCTAGAAAAAAATGTTACTGACAATAAAAGCAAACTTTTCCCAGGTATGATTTATTTCACTATTTTTCTACCTTTTAGCACAATCACCCTTTGCATGAGTTCAGTAAATATTGATCAACAATTATAGATTTCAAAAGTTTTAAAATCTGAAATCCAACCATAGGATTAAGTAGCTATAACCTTGGCTATTTTGTGGCTAGTCTCAGCATAGAAATCTGATCCCAACGAGCATTGAAAAGAAATGCAGGTCTTCGCTGAAGATTTTTAGGAGATGGCTGGTGGGGAAGGGAAGAGACTGTATCACAAAATTGAGTCATTCTTCCTGAAATTCTCCTTCAGGCATTTTTTTCTCTCCCAAGATCACCATTTCTCCAGAACACTATCCCTGGTCACCTGTCCACTCTCTGCTGCCCCTCCACTGGTTTTCCCCCTCCAAGTCTTCCTCTCTCCTCTGAGACAGTCTGTGCCCCTAGGTAGTGTGATTTACCCCCTCCTCTTGGTTTCTTCACTCATGCATCTCCACCCATTGCACCACAGAACCAAGCGGTGCAAAGGAGCCTCCTTTGAGGGGGGAAGGAAGGAGCAAAAAGGGAAAAGATCACACATTCATATGCCTAATTTTGTGTCCCTATCACAGAAGTTATGTACATACGTTTGATGGAATATTATATAGCTCTTTAAAATGATGTTTCCAAGTAGTTTCTAACAACCTGGAAACATCTTTCTATAATGATGTTAATGACAAAAGCAAGGAATAAAATTGTACTGCAACTATGAAAAAAAATGACACATCAAAAAATATATACAGACCACAGCACTAGTAGTGGATGTTTTCATAATGAGGTAACAACTGACTTCTTTCTTTCCTCTTTTTTCTATAGTAATAACCCTTTTATTGAAAAAACAAAGCTTATTGTTAGGCTGCTTGGTGTTTCCTATTTTATTTACAACAGGGATGCATTATAACTGTTTTCAAGTAGTTAGCTACTTTAAGGTGTATGACATTTTTAATCCAATAGAAGATTCCTAGAAGGAAATACAGTTTTTTTCCACCCTTATCCCCTCATTTTTTTGAAGTATAATCGATATGGAAATCAGTTATTTTTAAGTGACAAGTGAACAAAGATGACCCCATCCTGACAGCAAGTGTCCAGTTCTCTTCTTTGCATTAGGGTGACCAGGGATAAGGAAATATGAAGAAAGAGACAGAAGAAAAGTCCTGCTATAGCCCCAAATTCTTAGGTGCTACTCCGAGTTATAGAGTGTTCTTCAACAATACAACATCATAAAGAGATTGAACAACTACAGAGTTATTTTACTTTGGAATGAAGATTCAAACTTACTTAGGGACCTGACATGTCCTACTTGATTGCCTCCATTGATTATAATAAGGAAAATAGTCTATGCTCTGACACAGTAGCAGAAGGGAAAGAACACTAAACCAAAACCTGGAAAGGTGGGGGCTTTGGCCCAGCTCTTTTGCTAACTCAGTGCACATGTCTCCCCATTCTGGGCCTTGGTTTCCTCTTCTGTGAAATGGGAGGAGGAAGTTGGACTAGATAATCACTAAGATTCCTTTCAGCTCAAAAAATGATCTGACCTTAAACTGTACCTTTTCAATAAAGTTTATTTCTACATTATGAATTAATTAATAGATAGGAAATAGGGTGATAACAACAGTGCACAATCTGATTACAGCACCGTCAGAAAAAAGTCATGAAGAAACAGATAGTACCAAGGAAGAAGCAGCTAAGATGGAAAAGGAATACGGAACCTTGAAAGATTCCACAAAAGACGATAACCCAAGAGGAAAGACAGATGAGCCAAAAGGTATGGAATTAACAGCTCTAGTTTGGCAATGAAATTGGGGGAGCAAAAATTTTCACAACACACATGCTGATCAAAAATGCAAGCCACACCAAATCTGATAAATCGACACCATCTGTATAGAAAAGATTCGGCACATTGGTCTCTTTACTTGAATAGCAATCATTTTTAATGGTCTTGTGTCTCCTGGAATGGCAAATTGGTCTTGTCTTCTGATGGTCTCTACTGTCCAATGGACTTTTGTGCTTGGAAAGGAATATTTATGACCATTTGTGCATTGTTTAATGTCTAATTTATAATTTATTAAATAATTTTTCTTTAAACACAATCAACATTCCTCTAAATAATAATATACTACTTATTCAACAAAGTCATCAAAATTTATGGATTTAACAGAGCAAATTTCCTTAATCATTTACAGTGATTGAAATGAGACAAGCACTCTTAGGACCTGATTAAAAATCATAAATCCAATATATCGAATTTCCTTAAATAAGCTGAATACCTTAAAAAGCACAAAAGCACACATTAAACTAGCCCAATAATTATAAAACTTATGTTTTTATCCTTATTCTTACATATTCCTGTGATCCAATTTCTCTGTGCCTTAGTAAGTCTATGTGATATAAAATTTACTTTTTCCTAGGATTTTAGAAATTTTACTACAGCCTTAAAGAAAAAGACCCTTTGGGGGGCGGAGGTAGTGGTGGTGGGGAGAAAGAAAAAAGAAAAGGCCCAGGAGGATGCAAGTTCTAAGTTGCTAACCCTTCGATTTCAGGTCAGGATGTGGGATCTGTTTGCACAGTCCAGTGGTTCAAAACCCTTTTATTATGATGTGTGCTAGTTACATCATGGAAAATGTATCTACCCCTCAGATAGATATTCTTCTTCTGAAACTCAGTGTCTTTACCCGAAGTTGTGAACAGATGGCTTAAACCTACATTATTTTTCTGTCATTATGATATATTGACCTCTCTGGTATAATTGGAATGTTACCTATGTCTTATCAGTGTCTCATTAGTAGGGTCATCTAGAGGATTTATTCCATAGAAACTGGGGGAGCGGGTCAGTGCTCTCTCTCGGGGGCAGGGGAGGTGTGACATTCAGCTCATCTGTCTTCTGAAGAGACACCACTGGGCTCTCTTTTCATTACTTATTATGTATAATTATTAGTGGCAATGAACTGATGGACTTCATTTTTCCTTTCTGGATGATATGAGACCACAAAAGCTGCTCATGTTTATGGTATAACTCAATTTTGAAGAGACTGCTTGGCCTACTTACAGGTTCCTAGTCTCTCCTGCTCATACAGATAGAAACAAGTTCACATTCATACTTGATAATAGATCCTGCTTTACAGTGTCTGTATATTAAGTCGAAAAGAAGCAAACTAGTTATGTATTTAATATCTTCTAACTTTTTAACAGGAAAACAACTACCATTTCCCATTTATATCACAACTACCTTTGTTAAGACTTAATATCAACCTTTTCCATTTATGTAAGATGTTCACCTTGATGATGATGATGACGATTATGATTTTATGCTTAAATTGGTATAGTCTGGGCAGCAGGAGCCCCTCCCACCCTGTTCCTCCTTTATCCTTTTAGCACTGTGCCCAATAGTTTGTTTTTTGTTTTGTTTTGTTTTTAAAGATTTTATTTATTTAACAGAGAGAGAGAGTACAAGCAGGGGGAGCAGCTGAGGGAGAGGGAGAAGCAGACTCCCCGCTAAGCAGGGAGCCTGATGCGGAACTCAGTCCCAGGACTCTGGGATCGTGACCTGAACCGAAGGCAGTCACTTAACCAAATGAGCCACCCAGGCGCCCCATGCCCAGGAGTTTTTAAAGGATCTTTGCTCTCGGGCAACAACAGGGTATTCTTGACTCACTGAATTTTCTCATCCCAAGACTTAAAATCAATTCCTCTTCGAAGAGTTCTAGTTCCTTTTTGTAGAGAATATAGAGACCTGAACCTGGTTTAAATGGGTTCAAATGAGTAGTAATATGGGCCAGAAGTACTGCTTCTAGTTCAATTATTGGGACTTTTTTGAGACAGGAAAAATACTTTTTTCTTAATATATCAAGTTCCTGTTGATTTCTCCTATCTTATGAAGCTTTATATTATTGTATTTTTTCTCTAGCACAGATTTCATAGACCATCACAATTTTCTCCTACAACAACATAGCTGACATAGCAACACTAATCATATGTAGTAGCCTGTGTTGAGTAAGGTTACGATGTTGCATCTGGGCTCAGGAGGAAAAAACTTGGAAATGATTAATTAATAATGTTTGTGGGCATAAGAAGGGGGAATTGGTAATATACATGTCATGTTTGCTGACTCTGCAGACCAGTCAGTCACAATGCCTTGATACTTCCCTAGGTCTACTTTGGATGAGCGGTAAACTCCTGAGAATGTTTTTTAAAAAAAAAAATTATAAGTAAAATACATATAACATAAAAATGATCACATTAACCATTTTTAAGTGTACAGTTCAGTGGCATTAATTCCATTCATATTATTGTGTTACCATTGCTACCATCTATTTCCAGAACTCCTTTCATCCTGCAAAACTGAAACCCTATACTCATTAAATAAAGCTCTCCATTCCCCTCCCTCTTCAGCCCCTGGCAACCACCATTCTACATTCTGTCTCTGTGAATCTGCCTATTCTAGATACCTTATATAAGTGAAATCATATAATATGTGACTGGCTTAGTTCACTTAATGTCCTCAAGGTTCATCCATCTTTTAGCATGTGTCAGACTTTCCTTCCTTTTTCGGGCTGCATAATATTCCATTGCAGTTATATACCACATTCTGTTTATCTACCCATTTGTCTATGGATGCTTAGGTTGCTTCCACCTTTTGGCTATTGTAAATAATGCTGCTATCAATATGGGCATACAAATATCTCCTCAAGACCCTGCACTCAATTTGAGGAGGAATATCCCCAGAAGTGGAATTGCTAGATCATATGTTAATTTACTTTTAATTTCTTCAGGAGCCACCATACTGTTTTCCATAGTAGCGGCACCTTTTTACATTCCTCCCCAGAATGTGCAAGTGTTCCAATTTCTCCACATCCTCATCAGTACTAACGGATGTGAGGTGGAAGAGAAGTGGTAAACTTTTAAAAGATAGCTAACCAGGAGAAGAGTGGTCCTGTGGCCTGAGATAGAAAGCCAGGAACTGGGCAGCACAGAGCACTGCTGTTTACCCCCACAGAAAACCAGCATGCCTAGGTCATCTCCTCTGGGGGCAAACTATGTGTCATGATTGTATTTCCTGGAAGACAGTAAGCCATCATCTAAGACCTTTGACTTGCAAAGGCAGCATGCTCAGTGCTTAAGACAACACCTATCACCACTATGCAAATATCCATGGGAATGGATGCTGACAGGTGTCTTTGCTTATTTTAGGAAAACATTGTGTAAAAAAGGAATATGAAAGAGTTGATTCTTGGTAGCCTACTATTCCTGTTTAGGATGTAAGTGTTTAGAGACAAATGATGAGGTTAGATTTCTTTTCTCATTAGGAATTCCATCAGATACTAATAGGGAGAGAGGAGAGTAAAACTCCATCCATTTAGTGTTGTTGTTTGCAATGGCTCTCCTAAAACATTAGTAAGAGGGTAGGGATTTGGGGCCAAAATTAGTTCCCTCTCCATTATTTGGAGATTTAATCTACTCATGCTACCCCTGACTTCTATTACTTTGAGATAAGGAAAACTAATTTTAGTACAATTTAGAAAACACCAACCTCAGCTTAAGCCAAGGGCCAACATTTCTTGAAAAATATGTAATCTGCAAAAGGCATATTATGTCATATACCCTTGTATTGATTTGATAATTGCTTTGCTTGCACTTTTTTCAGAGGCTGTTTTCTCTGTTATAAAGTCCACTGACACAACATGTATTGTCTCTGGACAGAGAAATAAAAGCATCCATGTGGGTAAAAGCAGGGTTTGCTGGGTTTCCTGAGACATTTATTCAGCTACAAATAAACATTTATTCTGATGGCATGCCTGGTATCATGCAAAGGAAGCAGACACATAGAAGTAATATAAGAACTAATGCTTACCTCTGAGGACTCAAGCAAGCTTCAAAATGATTCGAGAATGGTTCTTAACCCATATGTAGGCAAGTGTCACACAAGCTCCATACATGTGCACATATCTCCCTGATTGATGAGTCACAAGTGTGTAGAACAGAGAGAAAGTTGGAGGACATTACAGGGCAGAGCAAAGAATGAGGTAATGGTCCAGCTACCACTGCTTTAAAAGATAATTATAAGCAGAACACATTGTCAGGAATATCTGTAAAGAGTCTGTTTTGGTCTGGTGATGTGGCATGATGGCTCCATTGAGTCACAGCAAATATTTATTAACCATGCCAAGCATATGCCGGATCCTGTGAGGAATAGGAATAATAATAATACCCTAAATTTATATCACCCTTCAACTTACAGAGCATGTTTCCACAGCTCTCTTTTTAGGTTTAATGTAAAAAAAAAATCCAATTTAATTACCAATGATGAAAAATGGCATATCCACCTTTGAATACAGTCAAGTTAGACTATTTAAACTCTTATATTCTACAGAATAATCTTTTAAAATACTAATTTCAAATTGGTACAGTCATTTGAATGATTCAGTAATTATTCCTAAATTTAGGGAGATGCCAATGAAATCAAATTTATTCTAATTTCAACCGTATTTATAAAGTTACCTAATTTTTCAAGTAAATTGCTCTCTGGAGACTAAAGAAAAGTACTTTAAAACTTTATTCCATGATCTCAGTGTGGCTCTATTTGCCAGTTCGATGTTTACTCATACACTTCTGCCCTATGAGTCACTGAAAATCTTTTTTTTAAACCATCCAAGGGATAAGATAAGCATTATCATACCCATAAACTCATTCCAAAGCTATCCTTTGTCAAGTTTATGGCCAGATAATAGAAATAGGTGAAAAAACTGATTTCTAAGATTCCTTTCACAG